CAGTTCGGAAAAATTGTATCTGTTGAGCGAAGTGCTAAATTTTCAAAAAACAACGGATTCCAAACCAATTTAAATTGAACTTGAATGAAAATTAGTAAAAGCGTGGAAATGCGTTAATGTAAAGCAAGACATACTACTGATGAAATCTGTTTTTGTTCATGTAACTAAATAATCAATAGCATCAACCGCGATTAGAAGAAGATTTGTCTTTGATATTTGTAGGAATATTTTATAAAAATCCTAAACAAAAACTACCGACTTTAAATTTTACAAAAAAAAAACATCCAACAGTCCTTGACCTCCTGATCAACTTTGCCGAAGAAATCATCCGTCTAAATAGTCAGGATCTTGAGATACAGCAGCACAAATATATTCACTTCGAATGCTCACTAGCGCCGCCAAGCGGAAGAATTCCGAACTGTTCTGTCCATCATCCAACAGTCATTGACCCCCTGATCAACTTTGCCGAAGAAATCATCCGTCTAAATAGTCAGGATCTTGAGATACAGCAGCACAAATATATTTACTTTCAATAATCACTAGCGCCACCTAGTGGAGGAATTTCGAATTGTTCTGTCTATCATCCAACAGTCCTTTACCCCCTGATCAACTTTGCCGAAGAAATCATCCGTCTAAATAGTCAGGATCTTAAGATACAGCAGCGCAAATATATTCACTTCGAATGCTCACTATCGCCGCCAAGCGGAAGAATTCCGAACTGTTCTGTCCATCATCCAACAGTCATTGACCCCCTGATCAACTTTGCCGAAGAAATCATCCGTCTAAATAGTCAGGATCTTGAGATACAGCAGCACAAATATATTCACATTCAATAATCACTAGCGCCACCTAGTGGAGAAATTCCGAATTGTTCTGTCTATTATCCAACAGTTCTTTGCCCCCTGATCAACTTTGCCGAAGAAATCATCCGTCTAAATAGTCAGGATCTTAAGATACAGCAGCGCAAATATATTCACTTCGAATGCTCACTAGCGCCGCCAAGCGGAAGAATTCCGAACTGTTCTGTCCATCATCCCACAGTCATTAACCCCCTGATCAACTTTGCCGAAGAAATCATCCGTCTAAATAGTCAGGATCTTGAGATACAGCAGCACAAATATATTCACTTTCAATAATCACTAGTGCCACCTAGTGGAGGAATTCCGAATTGCTCTGTCCATCATCCAACAGTCATTGACCCCCTGATCAACTTTGCCGAAGAAATCATCCGTCTAAATAGTCAGGATCTTGAGATACAGCAGCACAAACATATACACTTCGAATGCTCACTAGCGCCGCCTAGCGGAAGAAATCCGAATTGTTCTGTCCATCATCCAACAGTCCTTGACCTCTTGATTAACTTTGCCCAAGAAACCATCCGTCTATATCATCGGTATCTTGAGATACAGCATTCAAATCATGCAAAATAGGAGATTTTAGGGCAAAACTGTGAAAAACCCAACTTACCTTATCGTGCCCAAGATGAAACCCAGTCCAATCGATTCCTGAGACTTTTTTCTATAAGAATGACTATTTTTTAGTCTCTTGTTCCAGCGAGCACCGAAGTTATTGAATTTTAACACATTGTTTCGATTTTGTCCCCAGTGTGCAATGTTACTTAGGACCTAATGCAATGTTCAGCTTGATATAACCGTTCCTACCTGTGAATGTCTTTAAATGGGCGAGGGGATACAAGAAGAAAGTCGACGAAGAAAATCTTGTAAATGTTAATTAGGACCTGATGCAATGTTCAGCTTGAATTGCTCGCTTAGCTGTAGCAATGTAAAAGGAAAATCGATGACGAGAATCTATCATTGCAAGTAGGACCTTTTGAACGCTCACTGTCGAATTTCAGTACTGAAAAAAAAACTCGACGGTATCTCTATTTATGCTACAGAACGGTTTAAAAAAAACTACCAAATTTTTTGCTGATGGGGGCGAGGCATAGCAAGCCGTTCTATTTCAAAATTCTCCAAGTAAGAGGGACTTAAAATGCTTACCTCGTAAGTCCCTCCTACTTGGAGAATTTCGAAATAGAACGGCTTGCTATGCCTCGCCCCCATCGCATAATTTTCCAAGTAGGATGAACTTTAATAGCTTATCTAAAAGCATGAATGGAGGTACCGTCTGATAATTTCAGTGCTTGGTATAGAAATCGGTAATCTGTGTAGGGAAATCCTTTTTTCCCACCACAGAAACACCACGTTTTCTTATGCAAAATAATGGATGATCAAATGGAGGGATATCAAGCTAAAATGTTCCTATCGCGAGATATTCACGATAAATACCGAAATTTCACATAAATGTCCAACCCGTTTTATGTGTGTGTGTGTGCTGCTGATTTTCACTGTTGCCTAATGCTTAGGGAATTTTCATAAATAGCGTAGTAGTTGTGGGGGGAGAGGGGTTTTAGAAGTTGTGACCGGCCATGTATTAGGTATAGCAAAACACACTACGAGGAGGACATTTATGGATGATCCCTCATTTTAATTTCAAGGCTGTGTTCCAATGGAAGAGTTAAATTTAACTCGGGGTTAAAAGTGAGTTATCGGATAACCCTGCTATCCGAGCGTGGTTATTTCTGACCGACTAGAAGTTAAATTTTGGCAACCGTGGCTGAGTTCTGTTTGAAACCCGATCAATTTCCGGGATTTTCGAACATTGAAAATAACTTTCGTAATGTCACGTTTAACCACGAGTTAAATTTAACTCGGCAATTGTGACACAGCCCAAGAAGTATTTCTCGATTACTTTTTCGAAGGGACGTATCAGCTTTTGTTACCAACGCATTTGATCGTTGATTTGGCGTAACTGGTAGCTCACTCACGCATGCTAACACTACCATCAGATAGGGAAAGTTTTCCCATACCTGACAGTGGTGTTAGTATGCGTGAGCGAGCTACCAGTTAGGCCAAACCAACGATCAAATGCATTGTATACAAAAGCTGATACGTCCCTAATCGAGATTTATGGAATATAACTTTGATCCAAATATTCCTTTGAAAACCGAAGATGATTTTAATAATGTTCTTGAATCATTCACTACAGTTGAGCTGCCTCAGTACCAAAATGCGAGGTTACATTCGATTCAATTATAGACGACGATCTTCAACTCTTGATCCGTCTGAAAAATGTCCGTAGGAGGCAATATCACAGAACACGCGATCCGAAAATTATCTAGCGGGATTTGCAAAAACAAATGAAAAAGAGATTCGCTGCCCTGAGGAAGAACAAAACTTTTGAAAATGATGGTTCAAAATTAGACCAGAATTCATGTTGAAAAAACCTCAATAGCCAGATGATTCCTGGGGGGATGTGGATGAAGTAAGATCTTTAACTAAAAACTTAAAGGGACAGCCCTATGGGGCTGTACGCAATGGTGACGTAGGATTATGTGATCTTATATAATAAATCTTATTTGTTAACTGCAGCAGGAGCTTGTGTTTTGTGTAGAAATAGGAATTTGAGCGAGGTTCTCTCTGTTTACACTCTTTAGTATGAGGCGCTTAACATAGATGCGACTCACGAGGAGCTACTGATTCCGATCCATAGCGGCTTTTTCCTCCTTCTATGGATGCTCGTGCGGGCTCCAGCTCGCTGCTTGCAGGCAGCCTTTCGTTGTGTACTGGAGAACAATGCTCAACGCCACGTGCCGAAAGCACTACTGCTGCTGCTGATGCCGAAGACCGGACACCACCACACACGGTGATTGAAACTGAATCCGATCAACGATTGAGGCCAGCTTTGATAGCTTGCTGCTTTGGGGGAGCCTTTCGTTGTGTACTGGAGGACACCACCACTCACCATACGGTGATCGAAATAAACCCCGTTTGTTGAGACCGGATGGAATTCAACTTTGAAGTCTGTGTTAGGGAAATCGCTTTTCGCAGGTAGTCGGTGGTAATTTTAATTATCATAGCAACAGTTGTACATTGGCAGGGTTTTCAAGAGTGATATTTAAAAAAAAATGGTCTCTTAGTCTTAACTTTACCAGATGCGTAGGAATATTTCTAATCGATTGGTGATAAAATTATTGAAATAGAATCAGGAGCAGCTGAGTAATTAACGTTCAAAATCTTTCATAATTTTGTTACATGTTCCATTTTCGGTTTTCACAAAGTGTACCCCCATGTAGAAATCACAGAAGTAGTCCTACGTCAAAAGTTTCAAAATATGTAAACTCCAGGTAATGATGGAATTTTCTATATCCTTTCAAAAAACTCCCAGCGAGTACCTTGTCTTTCATGGTAAAATTATTTAACAGATTTTTCATTTGGCGTACTTTCCTGATAAATGGAAAATGCAATTTTTTTTTCCAATTTTGAAGCCGGAAAATAATCCAGCTAAAGCTTCTAGCTACCGTCCACTAAGTAAATTCTTTGAAAAGCTAATTGATGAATACAATCAATCATCACATCAATACGAACTCAATTTTGCTGATAGGCCCTTTTGCATTTTCCATGGGTATTCAAATACTCATCAACTCTGAAGAGCAACCAATTTAATTCGTTCAAACAAATCTGAAGACTGCTCAACTGGAGATGCTTTTCTAGACATAGAAAAGCATTCGACAGTCAGTGTTTGGCATGAAGGTTTGATTGCTTAATTTAAATAGTTTAATTTTCCACTTTATTTTATGAGATGTGTTCAACATTATTTAAATCCAAATCTGAACGTCTACCTGTTAGAGCAGGTTCCTCCAAGATATTTTCTAGATTATTCCTCTAATTCATCTACTTTCATGAAACTTTCGTTTACCAAGTGTTTATTCTTCAGCCAGTTTAATTTAAACTGTTTGCTCGAGCTGGAATCTCTCCCACCATCCTATTTTTACCAGGATTAATTAACTAGAGTAAGTCTGCTTTCTCAACACCGCACAGCATCCGAAAGCTTTTCCCTTACCCTCAAGGGCGTAATTTTGCTCCACAGAAGTTTTACTTGTTCTTCCATAGCTTATTCACAATTTCCCCCTTTCTTCCCTCTTTTTTTTCTCTCAACAGCACTTGACCAGACGGAACAAGGATAACTTTTATCCGCCCGAATCACTAACGAAGAGAGTGTGTACTTTTTCCTTCCGTTGCGCGTGCCACTTCCGGCAAGTCAAGTTTCGCCAAAGTTTATTTCGAACTACACGTGCGCGCGAGGACGAGGATTAAGCAACCGAATCCAAACAGGAAAGAACAATCAAAAACGAATAAATCTCATTCTGGAAATACAGCGGAAACGCTTCAGCGCGGGAGAGTGTATGTGTGCGTTGTGTAAGGAAGCGGAAAGGAAATTGCTTTTCCCCTCCTTGGCAGCGTTGCGGGACTGCTGATTTTGCTTGGAAAACTAATAAAAAAGTGTGCGCGCTGCTGACGAACGTGGCCGGGAAAACGAAGGAAGGAAATTAAAACTAAACAAACCTGATGAAGGTGAAGCGGTTGTGAGGTGAGTGTCTGCGCTGAAGTAACTAAATCGAAAGATAAGTGGCTATGAAGAAAACTAGGTAGCTTTTTTTTCTTCTTTCTTGTTGTTTCGGGTTCAAGACGAAATTCGACGTCGACTGCGAGTTGAATGAAATTTATTTTACGATCAATTTTTCCGCTATCGACGCCCCACCGGCAAACTAGAAAGACTTGCACAATCTGAAGAGGAGTTTCCTTCCTCTCGAAAGCAGACACGGTGGGAATTCGCAACCGTCCCTGGGAGTATCTAGTGTAGTGATTAAGCAGTCATACAACAGTGCATTGGGTGTCAATCTCGTCAACGGAAGAGGGTTCATAAATAGAAACGTACCGAAAGAAAGAAAAGTTCGTGTCAGATCCACCGAGCAGTCAGTGTGTGAATGTCAGCTGCAAATAGTGTCTCTTGACAAGTTGGAAAAGTGAAAACTTTGAAAACGGAAAGTGACACAGACCTCCCCCCGACCAACAGGTGTCTGCATCCACACAGGGTGGTGCGTCAAAGTCAACAGCAGAGCGCAGATCGGCAAGATAGCGCCGTGTCAACCTGAGAAGGATAGAGCCGACGATAATGGGAAGCGATGATATGAAGTGAAGGTAAGGCGCACTTTTCTCGCTAATTGATTCAATTAAAAGCAGACACTGTCTGCCTGGCCTCCCCTTGGTGGTCTCTCGACGGAATTGCTGGAATGGGAATTTATGTGACAGGCAGGCGTTTGGGTAAATAATGGCAATGGAGTTTGTATTTGTATGAAGTTAGGTCCGGCTTATTTTAGTCGAGATGAGTGTAAATCTGTCGTTCTTTGTATCATTTTTGATATCTTTGACCAATTGAGTCTTAATGAAATGTCTTATAATCTCGATATCCCGCTCTCGGATTTCTGTTCATATTGCCTTCAGATGACATCAAAGTTGGAGTTTGGCATTCGAGAAGTCACTAAGCACGAATTGTATACCGCAGGCATCGATTAATGCAAACTGGAGGCTTTTGGAGTGGTATGGGTATTTTTTTTTTAAATTCCTCAGTGATCTTTTGAATAATTCCTTATTAACTTGGTACGATGGGAGAATATTTGAAGAACTAAATATTAATTTTTGACCAATTGATGGTCTTCAAAATAGCTCCTAGTAAACTTGATATGATGAGAGAATATCTTAGTGACTGATGATATTTAGAATAATCTCCATCTTGCTAGGAACCCAAGCAGAGTCGGATACCAACATGTTATCAAAATTATAATAAATTTTATGCTCAAAAGTAAATTAATAAAGAAATTAAATATTCGTTTTTCCTGAGATGGAAGTTGAGTTCAAATTTTGATATATTTATGATGTTTCTGAGATTTTTAACCAAATCATCATGAGATATTTAAAAAATGTATATTATGAATAGCTACGTTATTAAACATTTAACCGAGATTTCTAGCAAATTGTTATTTATGAAGTTTCAAAACTGCTTATTATTACATAGCCTGAAATATAATACAGCTATCATTCGTTGGTTGAGACTTATTCTTATCCTATCTACTGAATACCATTTGATAATGGGGAGGCAGCTTCCACACCTGCGTAGGATATCGCACCCATTCAACACACATGGGCCGGGACCAACGGCTTTACTTCCCTTCCGAAGGAAGACGTGACCAGAGATTGTTATGCCTCAGAAAAATCCCACCGACCTCGACTGGGATTGAACCCAGACCCATTGGGGTGTTAGAAAGCAGTCACGCTTACCTCTACACCCCCGGCGCCGGCTGGTGAGGTTTGCAGCTGGTGAGTTTTTTCGCTTGATATTCCGAGGTACTATATAACAGCCTGCAATATCAACCGCAGTTGTTTGCTTGTTGATTTTTGTCATTTATCTACGAAATCAAGGGTGATCTTGTTCTATGGTGATATTAGGTTTTTTGATATTTTCCCAACACTGTTTCTAATTACAGTCATCCCAGTATTATGGGCCAGCTAGTCACTATTATGGGCCAGTCAGTTCTGCGTGTTACTCAAATGTAAATGGCCCATAATTATGGCCCATAATACTGGGGTGACTGTATCAATAGTGACGAACTACACAGCAAAAAATAAATTTTAATATTACATCCAAGAAGATGCACTTCAATCATGTCGAAAATCTCATGTAATGTTTATGGCCACAAACATAACAAATGCAGTAAAAGCAGCGTAATGTTCTTCAATGTAAACTTGGGATGTCATCGTCGAGGATGTGACGAATGGTTCCGTTTTCAGACCACAACTGCAAATAGCTTGCCAAATCATGGACTTCTTCGCGAACTTGTCACGAACTTGAATCTTCCCGACACATCCAGCCGCGATGTGAAAATTTTTACCGGGAAGCTGCTTAAAATCGAGTTTGACGTATGTTTCGTCATCGATCAAAGTGCAGCCCTTGTGTTTTGTCAAAACTCGGTCGTACAAGAGCCTTGCACGCTTTTTGGCCACGGAATTCAGCTTCATGTGCCGGTTCGGATGTTTACTGGCTTTGTACGACTTGTATCCTTCCCTGGCAAGGATGCTCCGCACCGTTTGAAAGTTGGCGCTGTACCTTCAGGCCACATCTCGGATCGAAATACCGGGGTTGGCTTTAACGCACCTCAACACCTTGGTGCACATCTGACGATCCCTGGTTCCAGTTTCTCGTAAGTCCGCTGATTCCTTTCCACACTCAGGGTTTCCTAGTAGGTTTTGAGCACTCGACAAACTGTTGTTTTCGGCGTCTTCAGCACTTTAGCCAGCTTGGAACCGGTTATTTCTGAACGCGATCGACTGCTTTGATCAAACTTGCCCCAGTTGTTCTCAATAGAAGTGTAAACAAACCACTGTCAAAGATTTTCGATTCCCAACACTAGAGGCGTGCTAGTGGCGCACGAGGGCGAACCAATTTACTTTTAGTCATCCACTTTGATGTGACATCAAATTTGACATAATTTTCAGATGGATAAAGTGCCACCCACAATTGATCCGGTTGTTATACTTAACAACACATTTTTATCACAACTGGATCAATTGTTCATGGCACTTAGCTGCTCTTTAATTGGATTTTTTTTTTACTTTATTAGAGAGATTTTTAGACGTTGGCTAGTTCATCTTTATAAAATAGGAGGCCCCAGAAGGGGGTTCTGCCTGCAAATTTTGTTACGGAGTTGGTTCACAATTCACATGTACTCAAATAGAAGCAATTAAAACAGATTCCAGTAAAAAAACTAACAATACAGGCAACGGGAAAAAAAAAAAAATCTGGTACATCAAAGTTAGGTAGGGTTTTGAAATAGATCGGAGCTCCACCGTAGGAAGGTTAATCCCCCGTCCGGCAGAGATGTCTCGTTAGCCAAAAGAAAGTTAAAAGGAGCTAAATGTTGTTGTATAACCCAGCGTCCTTGAGGAAATAAATAACTGTCGCTAAGGTGGAGGATTCGTCGCCCAGTATGTCCCTAATGCTGTTGGGAAGTGCGTACTGCTCCCGTAGTTGTTGGTTTTGCGGACCCAGGCATAGGATGTGTTCCACCGATGCAGTGGTTCCGCAAACGTAGCACATTCTGTGGTACTGCGTCTTATATAGTTTCGACATATCGGATAGTTTCGACATATCAGTCCACTTGCTCTTCGTTTCTTTAATTCTTCGGATGAAGAGGGATTGGGATTGGCACCACTCTGCTTCCCAGGCTTCCCACATTTTGCTGACTATCCATCGCTTTATGTCTTGTAGTGGCACTTCGTCGGTGTAACGGGGGCCAGCTGGGTCAGACCCTGCCAGGCTGTCGGCTTCGCTATTTCCTGGGATACCGCAGTGCCCAGAGATCTAGGAAAACACCAAGTTCGAAGATGTGGCCTCCGCAATACCCTGTATCTAGGGGTGAGTCAGGGTCTCAGATGTAAGCGCTTGTATCACGCTGTACGAATCGGATAGCACCAGTATGGGCCGATCCGAGGGTGTTGTAACGGCAACAAAGATGACCGCAGCTTCGGCGGAGAGAACCGAGCATTGTGGCTGCTACTCATCGGTGCTGAAATTCCGGCTTCTCCAATTCTGACCCGGCTCGAGAAAGCGATCCGTCCGTTTATATGTGGGCATGGGTTGGGTAGTTCGAGCCTTGCAGTTCGGCTACTGTTCTCCTCAGCGCTGCAGAGTTTTCTCCAGCCTAAAACCTGTGCTTTATCCGACTCTCGATTTTTGGTGGAGTTAGCTCCGAATTGGCAATCATGCCGAGGAGTCTGTTTCCCTCATCGAGGAGAAAGATCCTGTCATTTCCGGAGGTCATTGCGGTAAAGGCAGTGGCTTTCGTTGCAATTGCTGCGGTTATACGATGGCGTTAGGGCGAATACCCGCTTCGATGCATGCGGCATCGGCGGGCATTGACGGAAGAAGACCGGAGACAATCCGAACGTAGGTGTTGAAAGTTGGTGCTAGTATCTGCACGAGCTTTTCGGTGGCGATGCACGTCATCTCAAGACCGTACAGTAGGCGACTATCGATGAAGGCTCTTGCAACCCGGAAACGAGTGTCGCGATTGTTCGACCGGTGGGGGCGAGAGATGTTGCGGATCAAGTTGATCCTACTGCGGCAGTCGTTCTTGATTGCCTAAAGTGCTGCTTGAAGTTGAGGGACCGGTCAACAAGTACCCCCAGAATACGGCTGGCTTTGAACTTTGATAGGTGGCCCGCTGACACGGTGCCGGGATGGACACACACCTGGCACTTTTGGTGGCCGAAAGCTGGAAACCTACCGCGCTGGCCCACCTGGCTACAGCGGAGACTGCTGCCTGGGCCTTGATCCTGTTACGTGCTGCTGTTGGGCCGGTAGTTACGATAAGTACATCGTCAGGATACACGAAAATGGAAACATTTATCGGCAGTCCACCGAAAACTCCGTTCATGGCCACAAGGAAGAGGAGAACGGCGATAACTGAAACTTGTGGGACGTCCGTCAACTGCGACTCTGAAAGAACGATAGGTCAGGAAATTTTTGATGAAGTGGACCATGGGTCCACACAGCCCCCAGTTGACAAGTTGCTCTAAGACGAGGGGCGTCTACGCCCTGTTGAAGGCCTTCGATATATCCAGCGAGACGATCTCGGTGTGGAGACCGCTATCTTGAGGACCTCCCCCAATGTTGCGAAATAAGTTGACGTTCCGTACCCTTGACGGAAGGCGTACTGTCGATGGTCTAGCAGGTTTTAGGCTTCAAGGAAATGCTTTAGCCTCCTGTTGACCATTCGCTCCAGGACCTTGGCCATACAGCATGTCAAGGCTATTGGCCGGAACTTGCTAACTTCACGGGTTGTTTCATTGGCTTTTGGGATGGGAATGACTAAGCTCTCCTTCCACGACGCTGGATACGAGTTGGTGAGCCAGAACTTATTGAAAAGATCCAGCATCCGCGGCTGGCCTGGCGTTGGTAACCTCTTGAGTAGAGGGTACCCGATTTCGTCGGGACCCGCCGACTTTCCGTTGCTGCAGCGGAGGGCATGCTGCAATTCCTGCCAGGAGAATGCCTGGTTGATGTCCGAGTTCGCAACGTCAGAAGAAACAGAGAAACTTGTAACGGATGACGTCGAAGGCTTAGCTTTCCGCTTGAATTCGTC